ATTCTAAGCTAATAGAATTATTAAAACATATTGTATATTATATCAATATTGCAAGTGATTTTGATAACTAATTCAAAAAAATATAAAAAATAAAATTTAGTATCAAACTGAAAATTTATATGAAAAATATATTTTACAAAGATGCAAATAACTTTACATCTAGCAAATCAAATTAAATAAAATTTTATTTACAAATTCTTCAAGTTAAGACACATCTAATAATATCAAAATTATTCAATTTGAATTATTAGATATAAAGATATCACATCTCAAAGATAACGTATCAAACTGTAATAAATTTTTTGAAGAAAATAGTTTTTTGTAAATATCTCCACATACAATTAATCAAATTAGATGATTTTGATATCAGCAGATTCACCTTGTTTATGTAAATCTAGTAATATCAAAATTATCCAATTTAATCTACTAAATGCAAAGATATTTGCAAAAATCATTTTTTTTAAAATTTTCTTTAAAATATTTTTTATTCTAATTTTTGTATAGTATTTTTGAGATATTATATCTCTGTATCTAGTAATTCAAATTATATGATTTTGATATCATTAGATATGTCTTGACTTGGTAAATCTGGTAATATAAAATTATTCAATTGGTTTACTGGATATGAAAATATTTGCATATTTATAAAATAGAATAATTTTTTTCATGTAAATTTTCAGTTTGATACTAAATTTTATTTTTTATATTTTTATATATATTTTTTGAACTAATTATCAAAATCACTTATAATTTTGATATAATGTACAATATGTTTCAATAATTTTATTAGCTTAGAATCATAAATCTTGCTTTTTCATTAGTTTTTGTGTTATTATATTTTAAAGTGTTCACAATATTTTGGGAGATCTCTGTAAAAACTTGGCATTCAAGTTGACATAAAACTAATCTGAAACTGACAAATTAATAGAACTATACTAACTTCTTGCCAGTTTCTTACCAGTTTCATAACAGCTCCAGAATATTATCATGTCATTATTATGATGTTAACTTGGATTCTTCAAATTATATACTTAGAGATCAATCAAAATTATATCATAGTGCCAGCTGAAATTAACGTGAATTTACTGTGAATTACTATATTATCCAATACAATTTTTTAACATCATCTCATTATCTTAAAAGATCCTCAAACAAAATTAAAAGGAAAGCATTCTCAGTATCTTAAGAGACAACCAAAGAGAATCAAAAGCAGGCAAATATAAAGATAGTTTTTTATTGATTAAAACAATAAAAACAAGCAAATATCTAGAAAATAATAAAAAAAGCTAAAGCAATGGAATCATATAAATAGCTATAAGATAATAAAAAAGATTAGAATAATAAAAAACAAATAGATAATAACTTAGCTATAAAAAGATTACAAAATGCCAAAAAACAGAAACTAGATAATATTATATTCATAACTAGATAAAATTATAGTGCAACTGAATAATAGTCTTATAAGATTGTTATTCAGTTCTTTGAATATTTCTTTAAATTTTATAAATATTTTGAAAGTTAATCAAAATGATAACAATATCAACATTATGAATTGGTAATGATAGAGATATCTAAATAAACCAGAAAAGAAAATCAGCAACTTATATTAAATGAATTAACTAAAAGATTGTATAATAAATATTGGAAAGCTGAAAAGAGTAATACTAAGCAAGCTGAGATATTTATTTCTAAACTAAAGGATTTTTTGAATCCAATTATTAATGAGCATGATATACTTGAATTTTTTAATTTATTTTTTCATTTAATATTAAAATATAACTATATGCTTTATTTACATTTAATAAACACTAATTTTAAAGATCTTGAATCAATCATTGATGTATTTGCATTGTTATTTATCCTTTCGCCAAAGAACAATATAATTTTGACCAATCGCGCCACAACATATCTACAATTTAATCGACCAATGAATGAATGTGTGGCACTATTTGTGGCTGGCACTACTCCGCTTTAACGGACCCCCAAATCAGTATAAAAAATAAATTACTATTTTCAATCAACAGATCGCTTCTTTCAATACTAGGAAAAACCCGGGTTTTCCCATATTTTACACCAATTCTTTTTATGAACCAAATTATTGTAAATGGTCGATATTTTTATTATTACATATAATTCACAGCTAATCTTAATCTAGCACTGTTAAGAATTTAGGATGGTTTTTTCGATCATTCCGATTCATTATCTATGAATTGAATGGAAGAACAAGGATGACAATACACATTGGCTTCTTAATTAACATTCTCTCTGCTCTTCTATTATTATTCTCGAGCATTATGAATATATATTCAATTAAATGCCTGTCTATCTGAATAAAAATATCCTGAGTGAAAATGAATGGAATAAAGAATTTCGAGAGGCGGCATATTTGTGTTTTGCACTTTTTTCTCAGAGAAAAGTAAAAATTAGTCAATTAGTCAATCGTGTCAACATAGAAGGCACGCACACACACGTAATCAACATTCAACTGCATATCACTTTTATTTTTTCTCGTTTCTTTTCCCACTATACTTGTTTACGTATTTACTTTATCTAGTGGTATTTTACCATTGTCCACTAGTACTTTTCTTTGTCCTTAAAAATTTTGGTTTTCTCGTTCGCAAGTTACAGTATACCCATTTATTCATCTAAGTAGACAAGCAAACTAACCGACTGACAGACTGGCCAAAGAAACAACCTCAATTAAAAAGTCACATGTTGTACAAAAATCATAACAACAACAATGTCAATATAGACGCGCACGAAAGATACAAATTTTTCTAAGGCACAAGTCCACATTAAAAAATAAATACAATATGCAATAAGCAAAATAAAAGCTAAACAATATAAATATTATATATCTATTTATTCGTTGCAATTTCCTTGATTCCTGAATTGCTCAATCTTTCAATCTCCTTCCCTCTCTCGATCTCGATCTTTTCTCTTGTCGTCGGCAGCATGAACATTTTGATAACAGCTCTAACTGAATAATATAGCAAGCACACAACTCAAATATAAATAAATTAAAAAAAAAAGCAAACATGATCTCTTTGCCAGTACCACGTGTCCAACACAATACAAAAAAGTAACCATTACCGTTATCTCATCTTAATTAACATGCACAGTCACTTTGAGACTCGAATTGAGTCTTTCAATAATTAATCTACAGACTACACTACTATACATACTCTGAGTGAACAGTTATTACTTATTATTGTTATTTTAAATTTTATATTATATTTATAATACAAATAAAAAAGGAAATTGATAAATAAGATTCATTTAATCCACTTTTGGGTATGAATGAGTCATAAGATTTGGAAAAAAACCACCCTAAATTCTTAAATGTGTTTGATCAGATGCAAGATGTTTTTTGTTTGTAAATAAATGAACATTGTTTCCGAAACACACAAACACGATTGTTTGTTCAGCACATACACACAGATCCTAGTGTGGGGTACTATTTGTATTATTATTTATTATTATTTATATTATATTATAATATTATAATGTATAAATAAATATAAATATGGCTATATGGCGTTGTTTTATATTTGCGACATAATAAAATATCAATAAACAAAATAGAATATCAATATAATATATTCTAGTATAAAAAGTATTATTTATATTTATTAATGATTAATATCGATATTATTGACTAACGCTAATACTATGTGTGGGTATTATTGTATTATTATTATTATAATGTATAAATAAATAAAAAATATAAATATGGCTATACGGCGTTGTTTGTGTATCATTTATATTTGCACGGTACCGGTACGTATTTTTTAATATTAATAAAATATACATCAATCAATATTCATCATTACGAACAATATTTTATATACTCTTTTCAATTAACGATTAAATGATGCATTTTCATTGATGCATATGTTTTCATTGACGCAGTTCCTATTGAACAAAATTTTAAAAATTAAACCTGTATAGAAATATCTATCGCGCTTAAACCCATGACTTATGTATGAGAAGTTATTATAGTTTGGGGGAAGCAATCCCCAAAATTCTCTTTAAGAAACAAAATTAGTAACAAAACAGTCATCCAATCAATCATTTCCAATTATTAATAACATAAATCATAAGACCTTTTGCGCATATGAGCTAACAATTTTTCCGAAAAGAAATTTCACTTGATTATATATAAATGAAAATCTGATTACAATTCAATTTCAAATCGATATGTACAGTCGTGGCCAAAAGTATCCGACCCTCCTTAACTTTCTGTAGATCATGTGTAATGCACCAAAATTTTCCGAGCACAAAGAACATTGCAAATGCTGATCATTGATACTTTTTTTATAGATTGGTAGAGCTTTTATATTGGATATTGTATGTTCATAAACTTTCACAATAAATCGGTCACTTTAGGACATAATATCTTAACATCTAGTATGAAAATACCACCATTCGATTTTTCTAGTTTAGGCAAATCAAATGGTGGTATTTTCATACTAGATGTTAAGATATTATGTCCTAAAGTGACCGATTTATTGTGAAAGTTTATGAACATACAATATCCAATATAAAAGCTCTACCAATCTATAAAAAAAGTATCAATGATCAGCATTTGCAATGTTCTTTGTGCTCGGAAAATTTTGGTGCATTACACATGATCTACAGAAAGTTAAGGAGGGTCGGATACTTTTGGCCACGACTGTATTTCGAAACAAGACCTTTTTACAATTTTCTAAATAGACTTCCAGAGAATTTCAACGCATCACAGGGTAATAACCGATTGGATCGGTAACGGTGACTGCTTCGTATAAATATGAAATTAAAAGCACAATATATCATAAATACAAGGCTTGCCCTCAAAAATTAAAATCACAAAAAAATAGAAAATACCAAAATACCAAAATAGATGTCACATAATTTATTGGGATATACTTATCAATGGTGTGAATTCAATGTATTCATACCTACAGATAATATGAATCAAGAGATTACTAATGATTTTTAATCTCTTATTATCCGACGTTTCATTCGACGACAATCCCAGAAGTAGCAATCGCCCCTCGTCCCTCTTCCAATACCTCCTTTGCCTCCAAATACTGGAGATGAAGAAGGTACTTGAATTTTACCTATTAATATATTTCTATATTGAACTCTTTCTCAATGTCGATGTCTATTGTATAGAGGAAGGAGAAAGGGATGAAATGGGAGAAGGGAGTGAAGACGGAGACGAATATGAAGATGACTTTCGGGGAACGACAATTTGATCAAGGCTATAATTTTCTGTTCGCGTTCTGTTCTCGCTTATTTTTCGTATTTTGTCACAATTTCTGTTCTTTTTTGTTAATTAATTAGTTTTATTATATAAATAATTAATTTATATTTTATATTCTTATATTTTAAATTTTAAATTTTTTTATATTTTATATTTTATATTTTTAATTTATAAACTAAAATTTTAACAAAGAGAAATTTGCTATGAAATTTAGTTTACTTGCTGTTCACTCGTCATACTATTTGTAATTCGTTCTGTTCATATTTCCGATTTTTACTTGTAAAGATTTAATTAGGTTAATTTTATAATAATAAAGAGTATATGAAGATAGACCTGCAAAAAAAAACACCGAAAAATAATTTCATGTGATGTTTATTATTCATTGATAATTGTCCTTTTTAGGAAATTTAACAAACTGGGGAACAATGAGCCGCACGTGTGTTTATTGATGTCATTATAACGTCTATACATGTTACATTCATTCATGCGCCGTACGCAATTTAATTTTTATCTAATTAATCTTCAGAGCTGTAAGGATATATTCATATGCCATTATATCAATTCATATTTTGATTATAAAAAATAAATAAATTTGAGAATAAACAAACTCGTTATATCCAGATTATCTGTGTATAATTACAAATAGGCTATAGTGCCGCGCACGCTTCGGTAAATGACATATTTTGCCGGTAAAATAAAGTTTATCAGTATTGGCGTGTAGTGATTCGGCTAAAGTATTTAGCACCAAAAAAATTTCTAAATTAGGATTTAGGACATTTAGGACACTTTAGGACTTATACGATAATTCAAAGTCCGAAATATTTAGGACTTTGAAAAGTACTTTAGCCCGAATCATTATTGGCGTGTAAGATTGCATATTTATAACCATCTAAAAATACATATTGAAATATAATTACATTTAAGTTCCAAAAATATTTTTATTATGTCAAAGCGAACCCATATGTGTTGATGAGATAAAGACGGGAAACAATACGTTATTTCATTTTTAAAGTCAATAATGATTATTAACTTGCATGATTTCTTATATAAGGAACAATCAAAATTGGCTCATCAAACGCGCTTCAATTACGAGTTTGCTTTATTATAATAATTGATTCAAATTTATTCTATCGCTGTTAGCTAAATGATTTTAAAATAAAGTGATATCTAGATTGAGGGCACTCTTCGGAGTAAGAGAATCTTGCAAAACGATTCGGTTTGGTTTGGTTTGGTTTGTTTAGTTAAGTTTCAAATAAAGAGACTCGATTAATGTTAATGGAATTGACTTAATTCAAAGCACTCGATTCTAGATGAGTGTCAAGCTCAATTGCAATCATTAATATCAAATCAAGTACAAACAAATTCTTTATATGAATTCTTTGATTTTCCTTACTTTCCTTATCGTAAAAATTTTAAAAATGAATTCGTTTATCCTGGTTGCATTTTAATTTGTGCCATTTAACAAAATGATTCCACCTTTTACATTCCATTTCAAACTCTTTTCCGTCATTTCTGTTGTTATTATTGTTATATTTTGGTGTCAGTTCCTCTTTTGATATTCTCGGCGTTTCTTTCTACCTTTCTATCAAAACAAAATTATACTTATTATGTTGTCCTCTCATCCTGCTGTGCAATTAATCATATAAATTTGATTTGTAAGAGAGAGTGTGTGTTTATATGTATCATCATGTTCAATCAAAATGACTTACTTATAGAATATCTTATTGTAATTACTTCCAATTATCTGATCGAATCCTGATAGTACACTATAAGTCAATTAATCTAAATGGTAGTTTTTTTTTATTACATACTTATATAAAAATTTAAATATATATACTTTGATATATTATGAGCTTAGTGGCTTAAAGTATTAAAAAAGCCAAAAAGAAAATTTTTTTTAATTAAATTTGTAGCATTATATCAAAATTAAAATCAAATATTTGAGAATAATAGAAATAAGATATGTTCTTTGCAATATATTAAATTGTATATCTGTAAATTTTTATATATTTTCAAGCAGTTTTGGCGTAGTTTTCTGGCGAGCACTGTAATAATTACAGTCAAATGTCATTATTTATATTGTGTATTTCGGTGTTTTTGTTTCGTTGTTGTTGCAAAGTCCGTCGAATATGATCTTCGATTAGAGCGCAAAAAGAGAAAAAGAAAAACGATAGATTTGCATATTTTGATTGATTTAATTCAAAAGGCGTTGGTGTCATTTCCTAAATAGACTTCAGCCAAACAGGAATCGGTATTAAAAAATCACCTCAAAATAGGAAGTAAACAGTTCTTTTTATGTCGGCTGACAATTTCTTATCAAGGGCGGTGCTGTATGAGTTGCTGTATAAGTTGTGTGATGGTTGTTGGTGGACTAGTCCAGTGCCCGTACTGTATTATATTTATATTTATATTTATATTTATATTTGATATTTTTATATTACATGTATTTGCATTATAATTGTTGTAATATATATTGTATATCTTATTGTACATTATTTTATATGTATATATATATACACACACATATATACTCATTCACTATAACACGACCCCCGTACTTAAAAAGTAATTTTTTATTTATCATTCATTCCATCATTTTTTCTTCGGAGTCTAAAACTAACACACTTCTTTATGTTGTTAATCTAATCAAAGAAATAATTGACAAAAAAACGTCTTTTTTCATTATCATCTTGTATATAATACTTCTCTGCACTCTGGTAACACTATTAAATTTTTAAAAAGCTTTCAACAACTACTGTTGCTAGTAAGATTTGATTATCTAATATATAAAACAAATTTTTGCTACTTGAAGACTCGTTTTTCTATAATTGAAACTTTCATTTATTTTTAATAATTCTGAAAATCATGCAACGAGCAAACCAACAACAGAATTTACAGCAAAACCAGCAGCATAACCTACAGCAAAACCAACCATTGCAACCACCACCACCACCACCATCACATTCTAATATTATAAATGGAAGCAATAATATTTTCAATGACCATTTACTACCATGCCAAATCAAAATGACAATAATACATGTATTTCGATTGTACTCTTAGAATCATATCGTTAATAATGAATCAGAACTATTCAATAATATTTCATGTTCGTATTTATTAGACCCTTTTTTTCTAGAATCATCTTATATTTAACAACAATACTATTATTTTTTATATTATTTTCTTTGGATATATTTTATTAGTCACATATTTGGAATCATTTAGCGAGTGCACGTGCAACTTTTCTTCTATACGTAAATTAGAATATTAAACATATTAATCCTTTCATTTGTATCATTAATGTCCCGTGCGCACCATGTTTACATATACAAAATCAAAATGACAACCTGCAGCCTCGCCAGTGTATATGAACACGGTGCAATTACATAAATCCTTAATTTTTGTTTCCTGTTGAACCAGTTAGTATTAAACTTTAACATTATCATCGCTTAACCGCAGTTTATATATTTATTACTATTAAAAATTTGTTTATTGTATCGGTATTATGTTAACATTATTTACTGCATCATTAAACAACCATTCTGAAGGAGCAGCAGTTGCAGGAATGCTCAAGAGTATTGATCGTTGTTACAATAAAAAGTGCTTTTCTTTGTCAATAAAATAGTTGTGTACTCTCATAAAGTACTATTTTATATTGATATTGTATCCGAGTAACGAAGATCAATATATGCAACGTGTATTGTATCCGAGTAAGAATGTAAAACATTCATCGGCCGGCATTAACTGGATGCAAGTCAATTCCAAATTATCGATATAATTCTAGTCGGAATTATCGGTATATAGAAAGCATTTTCTGACAGCTCACCCACGATCGATTTTCCCAGCCACAACATTTATCCAAAACATTCCGCACTATTAAAGGTTAGGGTTAAAAGTTGGAATAAGGTTATATGTAAAATTGTCTTCCCGTCATTTTTTATTAGTGCTACAAGTTAGATTTAGGCATTTATTTCCCGTATTTTTGCGGATTTGTTTTTCTGGGTTGATCAAAAATTTGCACATCCTCATTGGTTTTGAGATGATCAGGGATCGGGAAAATCACGTGAAGGGAAAATAGATCGCGGGTGAGCTGAGGTAGTTTTTTTGACTATGATGATGACTAAATCACTTCTGGAAAATATTGTCCAAATAAAGAGTAAGATATGAAGCAAATAGAGATATTTTCAGAGTAGAAATAAGTCTTTTTTCCTCAATCATAAAATAATTCACTCTTCTCATCTCATCAATAATTATTTCATTTAGTATAAATCAACACTGCTGATGTTTTCAATGATCAAATCGATTACTATAATCAAACTAATATTTTCGTTTCCGCTTTTATTTTTATCTTGTTCTGTTTCATATTCTATATGGTCGTATATTAATTTCGTATCAACTTTCGTAACAATTATTATTTGATTTTAAGATATGCTATATATAGTATATACATATTTGGGATTCAAACTAATATACTTTTATTCGGAATCGTTTAGTACGCGCACGAGCCACATTCATGCTTTTTTTAATGTATGCAACCTTATTATACATGTATGTACGTATGTTGTATTATTTAAATACATTTCATTTTTTGTATTGTATCACGAATAAATTCTCATTTATCTCATTATAAATTTTTTATTTTTATACAATTTATGATAGTCTAAAAATTTTTGACACGATTCCGATTTCGAGCGACGATGCAAAGCACAAGTTCCATATCGTAATATATTCGGTTGATGAGTGATACTTGGAATGTTTTTGTTGTCACTATTTATGATTCCGTTTTTATGATATTAATCTTTTATCCTCACTTAGCAAAACAAAATATACTAGTTACCAATTTCAGAACTTCGTAATGAATAGAATTTCACCATACTCACTTCGAATACTTTCTAAAAAGGAAGTGATTTTAAACTGAACCAATATTAATAAACAAAGGTTGGCAGTCATAGATTTATAAAAGTTCTTGACAGAATCAAAAATTCAATTTTTAATAATAGTTAGAAATGACAAACTTAAACGTTATTTAAGATAAACAATCAAGAGCCGAGTTGACTTCCTAAATAAAGGGGAGTTTTACCTCTTTATTAGAAACGGAACCAATTTGCTTGAAACCGATTCCAATAGGAACAAGAAATTAACTCGATCATGTCCTTCTAAAGAAATTTTGCGAACTCGTTAATTGATGTTCTTTCCGAATAGTTGTAGGAAGTCATATTAATATCAAAAGAGCACATTTATTATATAGCGATAGTGAGCAAATTATTACCTTGCGAAAATTATTAACTAATCTGTAATTACAAAGCAATTCAATCAACCTTAAAAAACGGACATTTATTTTGAGCCTTGTAATATTATATACTGTAAATTATGATCCTCTTCATATGGTAACTTAAAGCGGATTGTGTTGAATAATCCTCACGGCAGAGAACAATTTTTATCATATAATTGGCCGCCTTCTATAAATTCCGGTGTGTAAAAACACATGACGTTTATATCCTGAAATGTATCTGAAAGCCGTAATAAATATCCCAATCTGAACAGGATTTTGTTATCAGTGCATCAAGTTGACTCACAATTTCGTGACATTTTACTAAAGCTAACGAGTCTTCGCCCATTAAGAAAATATGACCGGCTTAAAGAATTGTATTATATCACTTTATAAAATAAAAATTGTGAAGAGAAATTGAAATAACAATACTAGTAATAGTATTTGTACTATTTTAACATGTAACATTCAAGCCTGGAAGGAGAATATATCATGTATTAATTTTTTAAAAGCATGATGCTCTAATTGGTGACATTTCAGAAGTAAATGTGGTTGTGGTTGTTCATTTAAAAATTGTTCTTTTCTTTAAAAAACTAATCGCCATTACTTTCCATGGGGACTGTACAGAGTACCCCTCCTACAGAAGTACCAAGATACTAAATTGATTTTGGAAATATTCGGGCACACAAAAGTGAGTCGACACACATTCGGTACTGAACCGCATTTTGGTTTTGTATAATATTAGACAGCATAAACCATACAATACTGCGTCAAAACGCCAACTTTATTGTAGATCTTATACATAATAATTAATTTGACCAATCAGAATTTTTATTTTATATGTGTAGGAACTCTTAAATCGACAATATGTTTCAATTTCAAAATGCTACTACTCAACATAGAGACAAAATTTTCAAAATCTGACCGGCAACTTTGTTCTTTATAACAAGTTCTACAAAGTTACCGGTCAGATTTTGAAAATTTTGCCTTTATGTACCATATTAGTAAAAATTTAAATCATAACTTTTTGAAAACAAAATAAAATAAAAAAATCCTCTTACAGATTGATAGTTTTTAAGTAAAACTATAATTCTGTAAGAGGATTTTTTATTTTATTTTGTTTTCAAAAAGTTATTAAAATTGGATGGTTTATGCCGTCTACAGTGTCAATACATTATGGTACAATATACTCTATATCCTGAATCTATGCCTAACCCTTTTCCAAGGGTATACCATATTGAAGTATCGTCTCATCCTGATACAGAACAGTACCAAAATGTGTACCGAATCTCTATATACCGCACACAAATCAGCTACTTACGCTATTTATTCGCACCGTTATCTCAGTTAATCTTATCGCGTCGAATAAGATAACGAAAATTTATATTGTTCAAATTTGAACATTATCTCATTGAAGTTTGTCACAAAAAAAATCTGAAAGAAATTACAGTCATCCCTCTATATAAGAACACGCTATATAAGAACACCTCTCTATAGGAACACAATTGAGAACCGAATAATTAATATTGATAATAAAAATGACCTCTTTATAAGAACAAACTCTCTCTATAAGAACCAATTTTTATGGCCCGACCATGTTCTTATAAAGAGGGATGACTGTATCCCAATGATAGAGTAAAACTCCGTTTAATAAATTTTCTTTATTATTCAATGAGAAACAAAAATCGTGACATATTGACATGTGTGACCTGATCGGATTTCGGGTTTAAAGAATTGCAGATTCTAAACGAGCAGTCTTAATTTCAGCCATTTCATACATTAATCCTTTTTTTGCGTAGATGTCATAGAACTCTGAGAAATTAATTCTTTATTACAATAGGAAAATTCGAGATGTACTACACGCATTTAGAGAATCGGAAATTAACAGTTTATTTCATGAATTTTTATGTTGATATCTGTTGGTTCAACTGGACTTATAAATTTATAAGTCCAATAGTCCAGTTGGTCCAATTACCCAACACTGGTTGGCGGGAATTAGGGTTTTATGAATTTAATGGTAATTGGTATTTAGTTAATGATGATTATCATTGTGGTTATGTATTATTGCATTATTTATTTTTTTAATTAATTATTATTTTTTCTATTCTATTTATACAAAAATTCTCTCTTTTATTTAATTTACTTTATATTTTTTTGTCGCCGTCATGGAATTTATCCATACTCTGATAAATTGAATTCTGCAAACTGATAATGCGAAGATTTTTTGAATGGTTGTCATTAATGGAACTGATATTTTAGAATAATGGTAGGCAGACGGATAGTGTTTAAGCATAGAGAATTTCATAATATTATAATTTTCCAGCAACAAATCCAGCCTTTTATAAAGCAAATCCTACCTTTCGGGAATATAAGGAACCAAAATAGTACGAAAATTGTTCAATGAGTTTAACATATAGTATATTTGGCCATCACAATATAGATTCAGAGTGATTCAATACCAAGTGAAAAATTATGATATTACAAAAAATAAATTCTACTATTCATTGAACTAACCATAATAAATTAATTACAGTTAACCCTCGATATAACGAAACATTAATCAAACCGAAGTTGGTTCCAGAAACGGTTTAGTAAATCGAATGTACTAAATCCACCTCGATAAACCGAAGTTTTTTACAAATAGCTCGACCACTTCGTTATATCGAGGTTTGCACGTATATATCAAAGCATCAATAAACGTGAAAAAAGTAATAATGAATAAAAAATTAGTGAAAAATAGTAAGATAATTAATCCCAATATCTAATTATAACACAATATAATGTAATTAATTAGTGATTTTAAACATAATAGGAAGCTTGACTGATGAGGGTGATATTGCTGAATATTTAGTTCCTCATATATTTAAACTGATGAAAGATAGTGTTTTATACAACTTGGTATTAATTTCACTATAAGTGTATATGACATGTCTGACTAATTCCGCTGTCTATGGAGGATATCGACGAAAGATATTAAACACTAGATATGAATGATCACACGTGTATATGATTGTCTTTGATAATGTTGCCCGTCGAAACTTAAGGGTCGGACATCGAAAGCGAAACTAATTTTGATGTTTTGATATGGGGGGTTTGAAAGGTTTCGACAGTGTCAAAAGATGTAACCGATTGATCTGTAAACCGTCGAAGCCATCAAAAACCCATCGAACCGTCGAAACCCTTTTGACAATCGACTGATGAGTTTCGACTTTTGCCAAACAACTCTAGTCTTTAATATTTGATGGTCATATTTGAAAAATTGTAAAAATTAAAATTCCATTAGTCGTACATAGATCGAATATTATAAAGAGGAAAAGGAATTTTAAAGATTTAAAGTGCATAATCATAACCAGTCAGGTCGGGAAATAAAAATCTGGTTCTTATAAAAATATGTTCCTATATCGAGTTATATTTGTACGCAATTTCTTGGGGATAAAATAATAAATCGAATTCTTAAGGTAATTTGTTCTTATTTGGTGTTATAGAAAGGTGTATATATTTTTTGAAAATTAAAAAATAGGCGATTTGTGCAAATAATGTATTGAAGTAGTGTGTGCGGATTTCGAATATGAAACATTATAATGATACCGATAAGATTAAAAGACGAAATGAAGTATAAAATATAAAATATAGCCAAACAGAACAGAACAGAAAAGAACAGAAGACAAACAATGAAAGTAGAGTTTATAAACTATAAGTTTCAAGTAATATGCTCGAAGTATCATTTTGATTTGAAATAATAGTCGTATAGTCATTAAAAAGACCTCCATTAATAATGGATTGCACCACGTTTACATGTGCCGGTTGCGGTTGCGGTTGCGGTTGCGGTTGCGGTTGCGGTTGCGGTTGCGGTTGCGGTTGCGGTTGTGGTTGCGGCTGCGGTTGCGGTGGTGGATTCATTTTATCGAATGTGTGCACGTTAAAGTTTTATATAAAATCTCAGTTATCGTAGAAATTGAGTGTCAGAAATTTTGATTGTACGAATTTACAATTTGTTAAATTAATGTTATAAGTGAGCAAAGCTATAGACGAATAAGAGACAAATAGTTGATTGCCAACTACTCATTCACTCGCTCGCTCGTGCTTTTATATGTTTTCTGCCATGATAATAGAGAAGTTTCCAACACATGTATATGCTGTACATACTAATTTCCTTTATCGTTATCAACACTGCGTTTTTTGGTTTCTCTCCTGGATGATCTACTCGAATTACTCGAATAAATACATGTAGTGCAAATTATATTGGTAGAATTCGTGATATTGCGTAATAACTGATATATAGCAAATGAAATATCTCCCTGGATGTTCTACTGTTTTTTCTGTCTAGAACTAGCAGATTCAAAATTCAACTACGTATATGCCACACGGATGAAATACATGTACATGTATATACCGCCACATTCACTGGATGATCTACTGTCCTTTTTAAGAATAGGACGAGGCGAGTTCTCGTGTGATGAATTATGTAACATATTGCACCAATTAACAGATCCCGAAAGGTTCCAGATTCGATGAAATGTAATATATGGTGCCGGAAATCATAACTCAACAAACAATAAAGTGAGTTATTTTTAAAATCTTTCAACACTTTACAAAAATGGACTTCAACTAGTAAATTTATTCTTTAAGATAAATTCTATTAAACTTCCGGTCAAATTTTCAAAAAATCTAGATAAAAAGTTATAGGTATTTATATGATTGGTCCAGATTTGAAACAAAGCACGTGAATATTTATCACATGAACGTGATTTTATTGGTTGACATTTATTATAATTCGGATCGACACTATACTAAATTATTAAGTAATAGATAAAATTGATTTGTACATGTATTATTACACGTGATTAAATTTATTGGTCGATTACAAAAACGTGATATTGTATCGCCACCAGAAATTATAATTAAATCACGTGATTATTAAGTTGTGACTTTTGACATTATATATATAAAAAATAAAAATATTTTTGTTAACAATTAAAATACAAATAATATTGTTACAAGTTTGTTTACTGATTATTAAATTAGCTAGCAAACTCAAATTTGAATTGAAAAAGAGAATTAAATAAATAAAAAAAGAAATATATTTAAATTCTATGTCAATTTCTATAAAAATTATAATAACAAATACTTTTTTACTTTGTTCTTATAAATAACAAAAATCAAAATAATAAAAATTTAAAATAACAAAAATCAAAATACTTAATCAATTCAATAATAATATTTTGTTTAATATAATATTTTGTTTGATATAATATAATTCAAAGTCAATAATTCCAATAATAGTGTTTTGTTTAGTATAATATAATTCAAAATTACTTATATGCAAGTTTTGATATATATATTTAAGAGTAAAAGAAATAAATATTATTTAAAAAAGATTTTTGTTAAAAAATAATTTTATTTTTCAGATATAATATGTTGAGTCAAAATTTAGACAATATCTCTATTTATGCATTTTTTAAAATATAAATTTAAAGTATAATAATTATTTAAATATAAATAACTAATTAAAAAAATAAAATACTAAAAATAAAAAAGATAAAATATAAAACAAAAATAAAAAAAAGATAAAAAAATAAAAAGTAAAAAGTAAAAAGTAAAAAAATAAAATAAGAATAAAAAATAAAATAAAAAATAAAAAAAGTAAAAAATAAAATAAAAGATAAATAACTTAATTAAATAAAATATATATCAAATATTTTAAATTATTTTTGCTATTATTTTTTTTTCAAATTATTTTTGAATAATTATTGTTTTTTAATTATTTTTGAAAATTAAAAAAATTTGTATTATTATATTATGATTTTAAATTTATTTTATAATTAAATATATTTAAAAATATAATAGTTTATAGTTCTTGAAATTTTAATAATTTAAAAAATCAAAAAATACAAAAATTTATATAATAATTCTTGAAAAATATTTATAATATTTGAAATTATCAAATATTATATTTTATAAAATTATTAAATTTTATATTTTATACAAAATTTAATTTGTAAATATATTTAAAAAGATTTATTTTATTATATAATCAAATCTCTTTATAATTATCACTCTTAAAAAAGCAAAATTTGATAAATATAGAAAGAATATAATTATAAAAAGATTTGTTTTATAATATTTATATATAAATAAAAAAAGCAAAGTAAAATAACCATAAAGAAATATAATTATAAATAAATATAATTATAAAAAAATTTTAACTATATTTACAAATTAAAATTTGTATTTACTTTTTAATAAAAAAGTTTATATATTTTATAAAATATAAATAATAATTTTAAATATTATATATTATAAAATTATATTTTTTGAATTAAATTAAAATATTTTTTTAATAGTAAACAATTTTTATAATATAATAAAATAATTTTATTTGTTAATTTTTTAAAATTATATATATATTAGTAATAAAAAATAAAATATTAAAACAAATTTATTAATAAATATAATAAAAATATGAAAAATACAAGTTTTTTATATAAAACTTTTTATTTTAATATAATTTAATTATATATAAAATTAATAAAGTAAAAATAATATTATATATTTTAATATATATTTAATTATATATAAAATTAATAAATAACTTTATTAAATTAAATCTAAAAAATATTTATTAATAAAATTCAAAACTTTTTATATAAAAAGAAAAACTTGTATTTATATATTTTTATTTTAATATTTCATTCTTTTTGGTTATATTATATAATAATTATAATATTTATTTATAATTTGCAAAAATTAAAATTTTTTTATATTATAAAATTTTTTATTTTATTAATAAATATTTTTTATTTTTATATTAAAATAAAGCCAAATATTTTTATTTTAATATATAATAACTAACAAATTATAAATTTATATAGTTAAAATTTATTTTTATTTTATATTAATATTTTTAATTTTTTTTAATAAATATTTTTTATTTTTATATTAAAATTAAAATTAAAATTATAATTTATAATAACTAATAAAATTATAGAATTATATAATAATAATTAAAAATAATTTTATATAATAATTTTGCAATTAAAATAACTTTGTTAAATAAAATTCAAAAAAATATATATTAAAATATAACTTATAATTTTTAAATAAATTTATATATATATAAAAGTTCAAAAATAAAAATTATTATAAATAATAATTCAAATTAAAAACAATTATTATAGAAATTCAAAAATAAAAAATATTATAAATAAGAATCAAAATTTATTATATATCAAAAAATATATTATAAAATTAATATATTAATCTATAATATAATAATATTTATAATAAAAATAATCTTATAAGTAGATTTATAATTAAATATTTTTAATATTAATATATAAAAAACAAAAAATTAATATTATATAAAAAAATATAATTATTTAAGTTATTTATTTATTATATATATAAATTTTTAATATTTATATGAATATAAATTTCTTTATAGTTAAATTTAAATATATATTCACATTATATTTTTGTAATAATTTTCATATACTCTTATAATTTCTTGCATTATATCTATCATTTTTCATGTTATATTTATTATTTTTTGTATAACATGTTAAAAATTAACACCAAATAGATTAGATGTAAAATATAGATCATATTATTAATTTGGATACACATTATTTTTAATTATTTTTATTTTTTTCTTTTTTTTATTATTTTTAATTCATATTAATTATCTTTTATTATTATTATTTATATTTTATACATATCTCATTAAGTACAGCATAACTTGAAGATATATCATCTTTAAGAT